ACATAGTTGTACCCTTACTCATCCTCTCTCTGGCAATTATGACTCTTGAGGAGATCCAGATCCAGACAGATATATCTGGTGAATATTTTCAGTTTCTTCATATTATTTCCAAACAATGGGAAGACAGAGGAATTCCTTAGTTTTAGATTTGCTGGTGGGGTTATGTTACGGATCAGGAAAGTTTGAAACAGTTGTGTGACATCTTCTGGAATATTTCACGTTGGACGACGAAAGAAGGAAAACATCTAAACCTAACAAATATGGAACATATATATGCTCGGAACCAGTATTGCATTATTTACAATTTTGTTTTCTATATTTAGATAACATGGGTAGAATACCTAATAGCATTCTGGATTTCAACAGAAATGATGTTGTCAATACATTTAAAGTTGGACATATCGCATGGAAAGACACAGGACCACTATCAAAGTTTCAATGCTATTTATAATATGTTGTGTTAATGCCCAGCATGATTATGTGTGAGATTACAGGATGGAAGAATTAAAGATATTTTGGAGGGGAAAAACCTCATAAACCTTTTTTTAAAGCAATATTACGAGAACATGGGATTTATACTGATTTTTACACACCCCTATAATCTGGTGGTCCCTGTATAATGTCTATGGGACTTTGACAATGCAGGCGTCAAGGGGTTAATCAGCTTTGAGAGTACAAAGTAATAACATTTTTTAAAAGTGACAAATGAACATGAAAAGAACCAGAAACTATGAAGGCTCTGCATGGCACAATACCGCACACAAATCTGATTGACAGGTAAGAGAGATAGTTTAAGAGAGATAGTTAATCAAAGGTACATGTACATCAAAAATGGAGGAGGATCAGACGGAAATTGTCTGATCTAGAATATCCTCTAATTCAATATTCTGATGGAAGATATCTCATGACAAAATGGAGGTTACTAACCGTCTAGTAACTGTCTCAAATCAACACTCCCTCAAATTCTGCCTCGAAGGTGTTTAATGTAATTACGTCTAAATGTACATTTACTCAATTTTCACTCAAATCCCTTAATCAAATTTGCACAAATATTAGTTCAAGAGCTAGCTCATGTAATTCTTCATTTCCCTTTCTGGTCTAGGAAGCTGAGAAAATAGAAATCAATTATTGCAGGTATTCGATTGCGCAAATATTTGTTTGCCGAATACTGCCCTCCTACATGAATACAATACCACTCCCCCTCCCACTCCCTCTCTCTCCCTCTCGGTTCATGAACCGAGCCAGCCCCTTTCATACTAGCAATCAACTCAAAGTTGACTCCACCACAATCTCCATTAACCCCTCTCCCCCCAAACCACAATCCCTCATCAGAATTCACACACGTTCCCCTGCAGCTTTGGAAGGGACCGGGTTAAGGGTGCTGTCACCCTTTTTCCTGCCCCGTTTTTAAAGGCTCTAACAGCTTTCGGGAAGGGGAGAGCAAATTTGAGAATGGGCTTGGGATCGATATCGCGCCGGGGCCTCTGACCCGAGGGAAACAAGACCCTCTATAAGATTAACACCGTAACACGATAGCTAGCTTGTCTGGATTCTCGGGGAAGATGGACGAGAAGACGAACGTTTGACTCGCGTGATGGACGCCTTAAATACACATGTTGTTTCAGGGATGCGCATCGACAACGAGAGGGAGATGGAGGGGGAGAATAAACGTCTATGCGCAAGAAAAAACGCAATGAAAACTCTTTCTATTGTAATGCAAGACAAATGACTGTGCATACAAATTCTTTATGCTATCCCCATCAAGACCTGTCAGTTGTCTAGTTATAATTGTCCTTCAGGTTTCAGGATTTTTTTAAGACAATGCATGCATGATTCAGTGTTATTTCGAGGCTTAATCACCAATCAAATTCATTAATATTTGACAGATTAATTGCCTTTTTGCTTTCTTTGCAAACTAATGAGGACGTATGATTGGTCAATCAATAGATAAAACAATCATTGAATTTTTTTGGTGGAAATGATTAACGTGACTCATTACCGCTAGAGCAATTAAATTTGATTGATTAGAATTCACGGCTTTTATATATTTCCTTTATTTTTCACATATTTCCCTAACCAAATTCTGGAGAATTTATTGAAAAAGCAAAAAAATCTAAATTTAGTAGTAGACAAGAAATACTGAAAACCAAAGGGGGGTGATGTGAATGTTGAAGAAGAAGATGATGATGGAGATGATGAGGAAAGTGATGATGATGATGATGAGGAGGAAGAGGAGAAAGAGGAGGACAATGGTGATGATGATTGTGATAATTGTGATGATGGTGATAATGATGATGATGATGATGATGATGATGAGGATGATGGTGATGATGATGATGATGGTGATGATGATTGTGATAATTGTGATGATGGTGATAATGATGATGATGATGATGATGATGATGAGGATGATGGTGATGATGATGATGATGGTGATGATGATGATGATGATGATGATGATGAGGATGATGGTGATGATGATGATGATGATGGTGATGATGATGATGATGGTGATGATGATGATGATGATGATGGTGATGATGATAATGATGGTGATGATGATGATGATGGTGATGGTGATGATGATGGTGATGATGATGATGGTGATGATGATGATGATGATGATGATGAGGATGATGAAAATTATGAAGATACCGAAGATCAGGATGATGATGATGTTTAAGATGATCATGATAGTGATGATGATGATGGTGATGATGATGAAGATACTGAGGATGATGATCATGATGATGTCGACGATGATGATAATGATGACAATTGCCACATCCTACATGGACAAGCGCCTAGTGTGATGATGGCTCATGACGCATCATGAATTAATAAGAAGAAATAGAGGATAACGAGACTGCTACTAACAATTAACAGACTTCAACTACCCTCCCTTCTTCCAAACCAACCCCATAAACACACAACCCAATAACTGAAGTCCATGATAATTTACCTGCACCACCAAACACTCGACAGGGTTAAACACTTGGAAACAATTAATATGCTATCAGAATTCGAGGTAAGAACGAAGCTCACATTCTTCTCATTGTTTTTACTAAAGCCTAAAGTTCACCACCTTCCTACAAAGACCCACCCACCCCATGCAGGACACACAAGTTCATTGACCTACCGGACAATGACCTGTGGCATTCTCACATGGAAATCTAGCATGAAGGATGCATCCCTTCATCTTTTTAGACATTGAAATTCCTTTATTTTATTAGTTTATCCCCTCTTTATTTCTCCCTTGTTCACTGTAAGTATGCTATCTATCTATGCTATTTTTGTGTTCATCTCTCTCTCAGTATCTTTCACTCCTACTTCTAAAAAGTCTCTATCTAGAAGTAGGAGTGCGAGAGAGAGAGAGAGAGAGAGAGAGAGAGAGAGAGAGAGAGGGAGAGAGAGAGATGAACACAAAAGTCTATGATCTTTATCCTTCATAACTGTATTTGTATCTGTATCCACCTACCCCCTATTTCTCCCTACCTCCCTCCCTCCCTCCCTCCCTCCCTCTCCCCCCCCCCCCACCCCCCCTCTCTCTCTCTCTCCTTTTCTCTTATGATTCTCTTCAAATGCCCCTTTTCTGGTTTTCTCCTGAGCCATCTCTTTTATATCCCTTCTATCTGCACACAATTGTTTCAACATCTCCATTTTCTAAAATTTTCCTTTAAATATTTCTATCTCTTTCATGCTATTATCCTCTCATTCTCTTTCAAACTATCTCCCTTTATCTAGTATCTCACTCTAAACAGAATTACCCCCCAAATCCTACCTTATTTGAAAGAAAATAGGAACTGGGGCAGCGACTCCTACACATTTTACAACGTCCAACTTCGATCGAGCCAAAATCAATCCTTATTCATCTGACGGATCACCGTCGAAACAGAAAATTGGAAGGATCAAACATCGTCTGTAAGGTTTAAAGCAGCGGCGCACTTTGACCAATCAAATCCTCGAAAGAGGAAATGAGCATTTGCATATCCCCCTCCCTATATATTACAATTTTCTAACGCAGAGTTTCGGTGTGCAAAAGATGGTGACAAACTTGTGAATGAAACTCACGATCATTTGAATTTCAAGGCGTCTAACATTTAATCAAATGATGGAGGGGCAAGGGAAGGCAAACTGAGAAGTATACGAATGAAGCTGTTTTAAACATGCACGCCATTTCCTAAGAAGGCGGTTAAATTGTCACATTGCATGAATAACAAATTAAGTCATACCTGAAAATTCCTAGACCACTTTTATAATTGATGGATACGAAAGTAACTATAAACGATAATATTTTCTGTGTAAAATAGATAGATATCTCTAAGCCAAGCTATGCCTGTTGAATTAATTTTCTTTGGTGCAAAAGCAAACAGTTGAATAGTCTAGAAAGCAACAACAAAAAGTGTACATATGATACTTTGATGTTTGTTAAATAATGTTCTTTTTCATCCTCTATCTCATTCTCTTAACCATTTTCGTACGCATCATCCGTTTCCACATTCACTCTTGGTTTGTCTGTCTGTCTTTTCCATTTTGTTCTTCCGGCGTGCAGCCCTTTAACGTTTCTACTGCTTTTTATCTTTTATCTTTTGGTATCTTTTCTATTTGAAAGAGTTGCGTTCTATCAGATACGCCTTCTATCTCTCTCTTTAATACCTATTTCTCTCTTCCTTTTCCAATTCTTTCTATTCCCTTTTGTTTCTGATTGTCAAATTGTTATGTTAATGATCTTACTTTATCCTAATTCTGATATCTCACCTTTCTATTCCTAACTTCTCACTCACTCTTATCTCTCTCCCATCAGACTGTTCCGCATATCACAATGATTAATTCAGCACACACAAATACAGAGGGCTAAAATCATTAAAAACATTCAAGAACATGCAATGTCCAGACTTGCATTTTTGATATATGCGACTCCTAGCGAATTGGTTGCGACGCACTGGTACACACACTCTTATCTTTCTCATCAGAATTTTTCACATATCATAATCATTAATTAAGCACACACAAAATACAGAGGACTAAAATCATTTAAAAACATTCAAGAACTTACATGCAATGTCCAGACTTGCATTCTTGCTGTACGCGACTCCTAGGGAATTGGTTGCGACGCACTGGTACACGCCGATGTCCACCCTCGGAATGACCCGTAGGAAGAAGAGCGCCCCCGTGCTCAGGGCGGTCAGGTGACCATCACCTTTCATCTCCAAAGGTTGCCCATCCTTGAGCCACTAGATTTGAAAACGAACGGAAAGAGAGAGAGAAAAACAACATAAGTTTACAAAACTGGCAGGCGATGGCAGGCAATAACAAAGCAATGGATGCATTTCAATTGTTCTATGAAGGGTTCCATAGATCATGAGCTAGAAAGAATTTAGGTATTGCATCCCACATGACATCTGTTTAACAAGAAACTTTTGCGTTTATGAAATGTTTGCAAATTTTATGAGTGCTTATAAGCTAATGCCATGGCACTAAATGACTGGATCATAATAATGATAATAATAAAATAATAGCCTAAAAGTCCACTCCAAATTTTATTGAACCGAAACGGAAATTCTAATGGGCATGGCACTGAATTTTTTATAATTCAAGAACGTTTTTGCAAAACTTTCTGTAGTTCACAATTCATAAAATTTAAATATTTTGGATATGTTGGGGTTTAGAGTTACCTTGTTCCTTTTCAAATCATTTACTATTGTGGGGGTTAAGTAGTAACGAACAGATATACATGCAAAACATAAAACATCACATTTTATGGAGAGGGGGGCAGGGTTAGTTCATTCTGACCCACTCTGCTTACCCTCTTTATTCTGTTTTGTCACTCTAAACTAATGCTGCTACATACGTTGACCTGGAACCTAGGGGCACATGCCATGACCCCACTTTCGAAACTGGTAATGCCCCAGTCCATGACAAAAGCTGATGAGAGGTTAACCAAAATTTACCCGTTCTTATGACAACGGAAACTATCAAGACCAGTACCAAGTGAGATACCGGCTTGTCACCACACACCTTTCATTACCCCTCTCCCCATCTCTAAGCCCTCCACTTCACACCTTCTAATCTAAGAAGCGGCGACCGACAGGGGTGAAAGAGAAACATACCAAAGGGGGGAGAGATGGGGGTGAAGAGATGATGAAATGAGAGAAAAGAGATGTTCAGGGTGAGAGGGAGACGAGAGGAGTGCGTGCCCCAGAGAAATCAAACGCCGAAAAACAATCGCACACCTTTTTCGTGACAGGGTTGAGCTGGACAGCTCGGGGCATGGTCTTTGTCATGTCTTTCGCACCTCTGCTGACATCATTGCCATGTCCGCTTTCCTTGCTCATCTCTTTTTCTCCTATTTCTCTCTCTCTCTCTCTTTATACGTCTCTTTTTCCCGCTATAGGCTGCGTTCATGCTTAAATTTTGAAGGCAGAATGAGCGATCTGAAACGCTCATCATAAACGCTCATTGTGATCGCAGTTCCACGATGTACTGTTCATGCTTACTTCTCTGGCTCCCCCAGGCAATTCTCCGTGTGTGGCCTTAATTGGTCTTCCAGCTGGATTCGCAAACCTTCACTGTGCATGCTACATAGAACCACTAGAGGTCAGTGCGTTGACCCCATTTAAACGCGTTTACAAATTGTAAACGCATCTTTTTGTGAGTTTACGATCGGCGATCGTGATCGCCGTTTTTTCGGTGATTCTACAAAAGTGAGCATGAACGCAATCGTGTTTTAAACTAAACGCGTAACAGATGCCTTATTCTGGCCGTCAAAATCAAGCATGAACGCGCCCTTTAACAAAATCTCTCTATTTTTCACTCTATCTTCCCCTCTCTACACCCCTCTTAATAATTCTCTCTATCTTTGATTTTTTTTCATCTCTCTCTCTCTCTCCCTCTCTTTCTCTCTCCCTTTCTCAGTGTATCTCTCTCTCTCTCTCTCTCTCTCTCTCTCTCATTCTCTTTGTTATTTCTGTGCATCTCTTTCCCTCTCAGATACTTGATCAGTTGGGATGTTTAGAAACGGAAGTGGCTACGACAATGTTATGACTGGTCTAGTTATTGGACCTTCTTTTTATCCTATGTAACCAAAGAACAGATATTAGATGGTAAACTTAAGGAATTATTCACAAATTTTGGTGCAACTTGGCCCAAACCTCTATGATTGAGGACGTCATATACTTCCTTTTAGTATGAGAAATATATATAGTTTTAAAACGTTTTCAACGCGGAAGGAAATATCAGGTTTTTGAGGCTGGTGATAGAAAGGAAATCATGTTCAGGTATAGGCATAGAGGGAAGTGGTGAAATAGAACCGTTTGCTGGCTTGTTTTATTTACAGTTTGAATTTCACTGTAAAGTTGAATGTACAGAAAGATGAAAAGCTTTGACAGGAAGTGATAGCGAGTAATACAAGAGAGAATGATAGAGAGAGAGAGCAAGAGAAAGTAATAGAGAGAGAGAGAAAGAGAAAGATGGTGGGAAGACGCTCGGCAAAATGTGGGGTCATGCATTTCAAAACAGTGGGGAGATGCAAGAGAGAGCCAGAAGGGTGTTAACTCTCGGTAAAATTCTATTGGTAAATGCCCTTCTGGCATTAAATGTATAATGATCACTCTATACTGTCCAATGAGACTCAAATGATGAAGTTATCTTCTTCTTCTTTAAGACCATTGATTGGTATTACTGATGCTTGCTCCAAATTAGGGCATCCTTGGAAGTTGGTTAAGCTTAAATCCACAAAATCAACCAGTTATCTTTCTTCAACCATATATCGTTTACCGCGAGCCAGAAGGGCGTGTAACTCTGTGTGAGTGTATATGACTTGGCGACCTACTTGCTCTTGAAAAACACATGACATGTACATTTCACAAAGCAACACATCAATTCCCTGACTCTATGTATGTGTTATCCAATTTTCTCTCTGGGCAAGAAACAAAATTGAACCACTTTCTTTCAACTTTGCCTTCTTTGCAGCCGCAGTAGATAAGCTGCAACACCCCTTCGTCGTAATGAGTGAAAATTTCAGCAAGGTAGGCCATATATCATGCTGCATTACAGAATGTTACGAGCCAATCTGCCTGCGCTTGAAGCTAGCCGCCGATTTCAAACAAGTAAAATCTGGTCCAATTTGGCAGGCTAAATTACATTGCGAGGTGTGAAGGTTTCGAAATCAAGCCGATAACTTCATATCCTCACCAGAAGGTCATGAGAAAGATGGGGATTTTACCATCTTCCCCATCTCAGGTTAAGAAGCATTCAATACAAAGCACCTAGCTTGTAGTAATCTCCTTCACTCCATAACAAATCCTCAACTCACAGAGGAGCAAAAAGAGATATTGCCACCAAGAGCATAATCTCATGATCTACTTACAGAATAAATAGTAAAGAAAAGACATGTCAATCAACTGACCAATCATTTACGTGAACAATTCACACCATCAAATATTCCAAGAGGCTAACCTATAAATGTTCTACTATTAAATACAGAGATGGGACCATGAATTACATAATAAAGGCCAAAGACTTTTGATTAGGATAATTAAAAGATACGTCAGAAGGGCACCAGCTTGCCTAAGTTAATAGAGCAGCACTCTGAGTGAGTGTTTTATGTTGGGGCCCCTTTATGCATCGTTAAATAGCAATATATGTAAGTGCAGAATAAAGAGAGGATAATTCTTGAAATATTTTTGTACCATAAGTTTTCTGTGTCACACCAGGAAATTTGTTCAGGAAAATGATGAAAGGGTAAAAACAACACCAATTAAAGCTCGTTCACACAAACCGTGGCAAACCGTAACGTTTCTTCCAAAAAGTTTTGTTTGTGTGCACTATATGAATATCAAGTGAGGTTTAAGAAATTAGCTGCATGCAGCAATTAAAGGTCCTACACACTTATCTGTGAACATTACAAGATACAAAAATGTGAAGTGCATTGTGGGACATGTGTCTAGCTCGAATCTACGCCATTGAAATACATTTTGTAGAAAACTGTAAAAATGCAGTACACCGATCGAGCTATGTGTGAACAAGTCTTTATAGGATCAACCTTTAAAGGGCAAAAAGGACACCCTTTAAAGCCCCTTACCAACATAGTAGCCAGTTTGTTGCTGATCATGTTAACCCCACCAAAATTGGCCTATAAAAAGCTCATTCAAAACCAATTTAGTCTACTAAGCCCGGAGCCATTGGCTATCCCAGTACAGGGTCGCTGACGACCAACGAGTCCAAATTCAATTGATTTTTACCCCGAAAATACAGAAACGATTCAGTGTAGATAGGTTTGGCCCACACGTCAGCCCCCTGAACCGACCCCCTCAACTTAAGGAGTATAGATGGAGAAGTGAGTTTTTGAACTCTCATCTGCTGGAAGTGAGTTTTTGAACTCTCATCTGCTGAGAGCGAAAAAGACGTTAATTTGTATACTTTCGCATAGACTTAACACTCTTCTGGTCCTGAACAGGCAATTCAAATGCTGAGATATACAAAAAGATGTTAGCTCAGACACGTTTACAGAGTAAATGCCCTTCTGGCCCTAAACTGAGATACAGACCAATTTATCTGCTCTGAGCCAGAAGGATGTTAACTAATAGACTGTTACATAGATTTAATGCCTTCTGGCTCTCAACTGATAATTTTTCTGCTGAAAGCCACAAGGGTAGTAACTCATATACTTTTCGAGAGAGTGTACGCCCTTTTGGCTCCGACTCTCTCTATAATCGTTTCTGCTCATGATGAGAGTCGAGGGCATCATTCGGTCTAGGCAGATTCTCGTTAGTTATAAGTCTATCATCGACATCATCAGCCTGTAGATTGGAGTTTTGGATGCTTTATATGCGTTTGGTTAAAGTGGAAGGCAAGTTCAAAAGAATTGACCTACTCGGATATATGAATTTGCTTGCCGATATCGGACTAGAGGAGAGATTCATCCTGAACTGAGTCTCCCCCTCTCTTTCTTCCCCATCCCCCCAAAATATGTCCATGTAGACCTTCACTGTAGTTAGCAAGTTATACTTCTCGTCTACAACCCCCCTCCCCCTTCTGTCTTTTGTCACCCCGCTCTATCTATCGCTTTCCACCACTTCCCCTCTTCCTCCTCTGCCTAACCGTCCCCTCACCCCACCCCCTCACCCCACCCCCTCTACCCACCCCCTCTACCCACCCCCTCTGTGTCTCTGTCTCTCTTTCTCCCGCCCCCTCTCCCTCTCTCTCCCCTCCCTGTCCCTCTGTCACTCTCTCTCTCTCTCTCTCTCTCTCTCTTTCTCTTCCCCCTCTCTCCCCCATTCCTCCCTCTCTCTTCCTCCCATCCCTCACATCTCTATCCTCTCCCCCATCTACCCCTCACCCTCCCTTCATCTTCTACAAAAGATCATCATCATCACAACCTGCCATTTAACAATATATGTCATTAGCAATGAAGTCTGATCAACTCTAAATCAAGATGGACTCCAATCTCTGGTCTGGACGTAGCCAATGTCATTACATTCCATTAATCATGTTAAGAGGCGTCAATGATGGCACAATCCTCGGGCTAATCCTTTCTTAAAGACTCCCTCAAGAGGGGGTAATGGACGTACAGAAAGGGAAATTAATTTGAATTATTGTTAGGCTACATTTATTGAAATATTCTTTCTTTCACCAATGTAGTCCCTTAAGACAGCTCGAGTGGTTATATTTATTTTTTATTTCACTTTGTATCGACTTGAAATATTCCCTGATGTATGCATAAATGACGTACAAAAAGAGACACTGGAAATATGGGATTGTTTTAAAGAAGTTAGAAGTGACTAAAAGGAAAGTTGATTCAGGAGGGGAGGGGGAGGGAGAGAGAGAGAGAGGGAGGGAGAGAGAGAGAGGGAGGGAGGGAGAGAGAGAGAGGGAGGGAGAGAGAGAGAGGGGAGAGAGAGAGGGGGAGAGAGAGAGGGGGAGAGAGAGGGGGAGAGAGAGAGAGAGAGAGAGAGGGGGAGAGGGGGAGAGAGAGAGAGAGAGAGAGGGGGAGAGAGGGGAGAGAGAGAGAGAGGAGGTGAGAGGGGAAGGAGAGGGGAAGGAGATAGGAAAAAGGGGAAAGAGAGACAGAAACAAAGGAGAGACAGAGAGAGAGAGACAGAGATAGAAAGAAAGTGTTAAAACCAGGGGTGATAGTGAGCACTAAAAAGAAAAGAAAAGGGTTCAGGAAATAATGGCATCTAACATCATCCCCACCCCCCCCCCCCCCCTTTGAGTTAACAAATTGTGGAAAAATCAGGGAAAATGAGGAAAAATGGGTAAAATCAGTAAACTGATTTCATTTGGGTAATTATGAGGCCTGTAAAGCGAAGGACACAGGGAAGAAGGAACTGAAGGAGATTGAGACAGACAGACAGACAGACAGAAAAAAATGGAAATTAGATATTGGTTAATGTCAAGGCCTTTGAATATTCAAAGCACTCAAGAATGCCCTTCAAATGACACTTCGAAAGTCAAGGAATATCATAAGATTCATAATCATAGCTACAAAAAGGCTTCAATTACTCCTCATAGGTCACACTATTTCCAGAGTCTAAGGACTGATTTATTTTGTCTCCTCTCATGTTCCCTCAGATATTTTGACTCCAGTGCTAAACATTTCTGACTTGATAATTAAAGCCAGAAAGTTGGCTTTGGATTTCAAATTGCAGCAATTTATTAACAATTACCTCTCTTTCCCAGACATATTTATCAAACAGAGACATTTTACTCTTTTTTTTTTTGAGGGACGGGGCTGAATGTTTGAGTCATTCATGTACAAATATTACTGCTCGGTGGAATAGAAAATCACTTTCAGACCAGTTAACTAGGTTGACTCTATTCTATAAACAATTTCACAGTCAGTCTTCTACTATAAAATAGAAAGAAATCATAACACCCTAAAATGAAAAAGTACAAAATACGTAAACAAACCATTCCAATTCCATTCATTTTCCCATTGACTTAAATTCATAACATTTTAAAATGGACCAGTATAGAATGCACAACGGGACCTTTATTATTATTTCATTACCCTCCTTTTCAAATCATTCATAAAAAGAAGTAATGAACATACATGTATTGAGCTAGATTCCTAAAACATGTAGGTCACAAAACTTGATTTTGTTTGATGCATTTTGCCCACTTTCTGGTTGGTAAAGAAAGAAATGTATTCTTTGTGAGGACATAGGAACTGCCCGAAACTTCATTTTTTGCAACCCCAAACAGCTGACATATGGCGTTGTGGGCTTGCATGTTGTTTCAAAGCGTCCTATGACACGGGACACTAAATACCGAACTCTTTCTACACCGGTGTTTACATGTTGGTCCGTTTAGATGTTATTCCCTCGTGATGACATATCACGTCGAGTTCTGTTACACCAGAGGGTCAGGCGCGTTAACACCAAGCGTTAACATCGTTGCAGTAGACGTTATGCAATGGGAGCGAGGGAGTGAAGGTGGAGGGGAGAAGGAGAGATGACAAAGGTGAGAAAATAAGAGAGGGAGAGAGGGAGAGATAAAAAGAGAAAAGAGCAGAGAAATTATAAAGATAGAGTGGAGAGATATATAATGAAGATAAAGAGAGAGAGAGAGAGGGGGAGAGAGAGAGAGAGAGAGAGAGGGGGAGGGAGAAGAGCAGAGAGAATAAAAGAGTGAGAGATGATGAATATAGAGTGGAGAGATAGAGAATGGAGATAGATAGAGAATGGAGATAGAGAGAGAGAGAGAAAGAGAGAAGAGCAGAAAGGGGGAAAGTGTGAGAGATAAAGATAGATTGGAGAGATATAGATAATGAAGACAAGAGAGAGAAAGAGAAAGAGAGAGAAAGCAAGAGATATCAAAACAATGAAGATGTTCTTTCACACCTATGCTCAGGTGTGTTAACATCCACAGCGACTACCATTCCACCAAAGTTCACCTGTTTCATACGTAACCCGTTGACTTCTGAATTCATTCATTGCCATAGGCTTAATACAGGGGCCACCTGGTTCCAGTCGACAAAGAGTTAACAACTTAACATTTGCGATGTTTTACCCAAACACAGTTTAGTTGCTTGCTAATGAATAATGTGAACAATGTTGGAAAGATGTAAGCTAGAAACTGAACTAAATGTACCTAGCGACTGTTGGTATATAATCTTACCTCCACATCCCATTAATGTTCTATTTTTTCAGTCTAGAATACAGGTCGATCCTGTGTGTACATTTCAGGAGGAAGGTCACACGAAACTTACAATGTAATCTACATGGATGAGAAACATTCTGATCCAACACTTATAATGATTACCAGCCAGGAGTATCTATCCTAAAATGACTTACATCCCAAAATTAACTGGGCTCTCGTTCCCCTACATTATCCCCGAGCGCTTCCACGTTATCGCGTGAACTGCCGAGATGCGTTACGTCTCGGATCGCGGAATGCGTTACAGCCCGGTTCACGAAAGGTAAAACTTGTCGTCAATGCTAGATCAGGTGATGGACACGTGATAGCAACACAGAAAACGAAATAGCCTCGCCGGTCACGTTACATCCCCGAAGACCTCCAAAATGTCAGTTTATTAGTACTCCCAAAGTTTAATCACAAAGTGGTGAACTAGTTTACAAACTCCGATATGCCAACCGGCGCTATTTCTTCCACCAAAACAGAGCCATTGATAGATACTCCACTGGTTCTTTCACTAATCCACTTTTCGCGCCTCATCTCTTTTTATCTAATTTAACCTCGGAGCTGCCACAGGCGGATAGTTTGGCCCCACGCAATACCTTCCCTCACATTTTACTTAGCAACAAATATATGTCAACACCTAATTGTCAATTTGAGATAACGATTCTGTTTACCGGAGAGATAGTAAACAAGAGACCACAATCTGGTGCAATTATCAGTTACTAATTTGTTATGATATGTGATAATTTATATCATAATTCTGAAACAAAAACATTTCATACTCATTTTCAATTTTCTTACTGAAATTGATTTATAGGAATTGTACTTGGTGGAAAATTGGAAATGCTATTTCTAGATGGCTATATCTTTCCTGGCCAATGTAGTAAAGTAAATTTGAGATGAAAACTCTTTTTCTTTGATACAGCCTGAAACCCTAGACTGCCTTTATGTTTGAAAAATATGATACATGTAAATTGAAGATGAGACAAGGGTTTCCCTAGACAACTAAAGTGGGGACAAAGTTAATCACCAGTTTTGTTTTATCTACAAACTATCTGTTCAGAGCCAGAAAGGCACTAACTCTATGTTAAAGTATACATGTTAATGCCCTTTTGGTTCCAAAGAGATAAAACATAAGACTGTGTGTTAATCCAACTCAGAGTTTACTACACCTGCAGTTAGAGCTTCCGATTTGGGACTCTGACTGCCAAAGGCGACAGCTGAGAATTAACTCGAGTAAAACTTACACTTGAGTTAACACCATTCTCTTTGTGGAGTCCCCTGTATCTCTTCAGGAAGTAGGTTATAGGGCATATATATCCATAGTCTGTTCAAACTTTAAGGAAAACGTCATGTAAAGACTCATTGTATAGCAAAAGGAGCTTACACACTAGAAAATTACTATGTATAAAGAATTACAAAATTAATGGAAATAACTTTTAACAGGTCACTTGACATGATGACTGGCTTTTCATGACAAGACATTGGGCTAACAGAATACAGCACTAGTGAGATACAGAACCAATGAGACTTAGGACCAAGAGGTCTTTGGACCAATGGGTCTTTTTGGACCATGAGGATGCCCTGCCAAGGACACCCAGGACAGATGTTATATTGGATCAATGGGACAAAGGACGAAAGGGATGAAGGAATTATGAGATGCATGTCCAATAACACTTTGGACCACTTGGACAAGAGTACAATGTACTCTTGGAACCAATTGAATGCAGGACCAATGTAATGCAGGACCGATGGAAGCTAGGACAGATGGGACACATGGCTACAGAACTCCTGGAGGATACTCACATGGAGGTCTGGTGCAGGGAATCCTTCAGCTCTGCAGTTGAGCGTTGCAGGACTGTTCTTCCGGATGGACTGGCCTGACGGATGTTCAGTGATCCTTGGGGGTGATTCCTCATTACGTCTTGCATCAGCCCCAACAGCTGTACAACGAAAGAAATAAGAAGAGAGCACATTAAATCATCATCATCATCATCATCATCATCATCATCATCATCATCATCATCATCAACATCATCTTCATTGCCAGCACCATCATCACATGACGTCCACAGCCGAGACAGAGATCACTCTGCAAGACTATTTATTCCATTATGATGTTTGTCATATATTGCTTTTAAGGGAGTTGCACCTTTTAAAGCACATTGCAGTTTTGCAGCTACCTTTTTTTCTTTGTATTTATTATTGGAATGAACGTTTGATGTAGTTTTTATATGACAATGAATACAATTTTTTTTTAAATCAAATGCATTGAATTAATCTTTAAGGGATGTATTCTATCTCAAGACTAAGGTTATGTGCTATTGTTTCCATGAAGTTGTGAGGATCGATGTCAGGAACTATTTGGGCTGGGCAACAGAATACAACTGACACAAAAACAGTCTTGAATGTCTCATGGAAGTATTTTGTAGAATGTATAAATGTACATTATTCAGCAAAATACATGCGTTCTATTGTATCCTAGGTGATGTCAACACAAAACCATGAGGTGTAATTACTTAAATGTCCTATGTGTTTCACAAACATTGCTCTGCATTTTAATAACGCAACATTAGGGATGTACGTAGAAGGGAGATGCTAATGCAAAATACACATTGCATGATGCTAATAGATGCTTAAGGATCCATAACTGAACAATTAAACACAAATTAGTTTTTTAAACTGCATAACACGTCGCGAGAAATCCCCAAAGGCAACAATACACACTTCAACAAGACATCCTGAAAACACAGCGCCAATGGTTAAACTGTTTCTGCTGTTGCTGGAAATGTAAGAACAGTGATAATCCCTTGGCCGTCATAACAGGTACAATCATCATCGAGATTCCCGGTGAACGTACTTTTGCCGCAACTATGCCAATTGAAGACGCACGAAAAGTAATGATCCGTTCATGATCTCATAAATAAATCATCACCAATGAACTTGTATATATATGTCTATATATATATCTGGTAATGATTACACGCAAAGTGAGAGGAACGTGCCTGTAATCATATTATAATAAAGATGATTGTAAATATATATATAGCAACCTTGAAGTCTCTGCTAGCCATGCTTAAAGAAAACCTTAAGATATGTGAGCAATAGACCTTTGAACAATCATCAGCCTTCAAAAGAAATGTACTGATTTATCATGTAACCTTCATTCATCGAGCTCCGTGTATATGGTATTAGTTAAATCAATATTGGGTAAATATCAAATTCTTTCATTTTAAGCAGTTTCACGATTCAATCATGGAAATGTGTTTTGATCACTTCTAAATGTACACGATTAGAGCATCAAAATGATACATAATGTCCATACTATCGCTCATTTATGATCATTTTTATACAGTTTACAAAGAAAGCGACACGGTATAGCTCTAAATATATATTCTAGGCTTAAGTGTTGAGGAAATGCTGCCATTCTCTATTGCGTGTAATATATTAACACACCATACTTATTACAATTATGCAAGTCATGTCTAGAACAACAATTAGGCAATTTAACAAATAATTGGAAATTACTGAAGAGTACAGCAATTAACTTTTAGCTTAATGTTTAACTAAAAAATGAGTTAAAGTATGAATATTTTGACTGATACATTTGTGTAATAGCCATGTCTTTCTGTAATCTCAATGAAAAGAATCACTATTCCCTTGTTATTATTTTAATAGCAATAAGCTAAACAAAATGTATTCAGTTGACATTTTTATTGAACACAATTTAATGCTGAAAGAATATACCACTAAATAATTATCTGTTTTATGACTATTATTAACTTTCCTCAAAATATCAAGTTAAATGACAGTATCAGATTAAATACTCACACCTATATTAACAAAAATCAGATTCTGCCTCCTATTTTCACTTTAAAATGCACTTTTCTGAAGCACCTTCAGACTCTCGCAACCATGCATCAAAACAAACCTGTGACGCAGCAGCGGTACAAAGAATTGCTCAAATTGGCAAAGCGATAAGCGATTTGCCACACTGCAGCCCTGGCTTAAAGTCACTGTTTAAGGTTCATCCGCCTAAATCAATTAAAGGCATGAATTCGACGGCTGTTCAAGGCTCCGCGCCACGGACACAAGTCAGTTCTTGATAATTTGGGGGACAAAATGGGAGTCTTGTTAGTGATTTTGGAGAAATCTTTGGACATTTGGAGAAATCTTTGTATCAAAGCAATTTAGTTGTATAAAATAGCTGTTTTATATGGAATTTTGCACATTCTTCTCAATGTAGAACAAATTCTTTTGCCTAATAAAGCTTGTTCTGGCTTTGCTTGGATCCAAATTTGAATTGAATTACATTTGGTATGCAAACTAGTGACAAGTAGGGAGGATTATATTTCAATGCAGGTACTAAAATATATACAAATTGCTTAATTTTTGATGAACAAGCTCCTCTTGTTGGTTTTTTTTCTTCAAAGTGGACTTTCTTGATAAATTTGTTTGAATAAGCATAAGGAATACAGAAAGAATGAGAACAGAAAAGGTTGATTGTTCAGGAACACTAGTGAGAAGAAGAAAAAATCCTAAAAAGGATCTATTCTTCATGTTTTATGTCTAGAAATCTATAATATTGTTAACAGCTTGGGTCATGTGAAGAGTAAAAAGGGCCCATATAATGTAATAGATGGTGTTCACTGCCAACATTTTGACTTAAAATGCCTAATATCATTGAAAAAAGTTGGAAGTTTTTTCTTCTTCAAAATTTGATGGCAAAATTTCACTTAAATGGTATCATAATGTATGTATTATTTTATCAATATTTGTCTTCAAACACATTTTTGTTGGGAAGGGGGGGGGGGATCTTTGCAGAAGTGTGTCTTAAATGATATCCGCTTTCACATTATGATACCATTTAAATAAAATTTTGCCATCAAACTTTTTGCGAATTTGAGGCTCCCAACACTTAGGAGGGGCTTTAAGACAAACATTCATCCATTGTTCCTATCGAGTATTCAGAGATGAACATGTCTGATAAAATCTTTATAAAACTACATATTTTAACTTTTGTGTCTTTACTTTATGTGTTGCGACGTCTTTCTCATGGCCAATACAATCATGAAGCTTGGTGGCGCGTTAAGGGTCAAAGACGATTTGTCATTTTCTCGCTGGGATGATGGATGGGGGCGGTGTTCCTTTAAGAACGAGAAATCATCGTCCAGGTTACCATCTGGTGGCGACAGACATACATACATGCACTGAATTGTTCTGGACAAAATGTTCGACAAATTAGAATAAACACGGCTCATCAGATGGACTGCATTCAAAAGCAGATGTGTGTGAAGGTTCTGGGTGTGTTACCACTCAATGCACTTAATCCCACTTTGTTACAAGAATAAAGTTAATTCTGATCTGTGGTGGGATTTTTACTTTACCACATGGAGAATTGGAGGTAAAAGTAAATTAGAGCCCAAGGTTATCGTTGACTCTAAATTAAATTTAATCTACCTGTGCTCTGATTCTGATCCGTTACAGGGATTTTTTTCTTTTCTTCTGAACCCATCTTAGCTTCAGGAATAAAACAATCGTAATTATCCTGGATGGTGATTGTACTCTAGTAATAAATTTCTAATAAATTACCAATTCCTTGGACAGTGTGCTTCAGCTATAAGCAAATACTTATTGTCTATGCAGTCCAAAAAAAATATTCATCAAAGTATTTGGTGATTTCATTTTTTTGTAATTTCATTTTGTTTTGTCTTTTGATGTCCTCCTTTGAATGTGCTGTACAGAATGAATAGAAGGATAAACATCATCAAACAGCTGTATTCATGGAGGAGGACTATCCTCATCAGTATACAAAAAGGAAATAAATTTTTAAGCCTGGTGTGAACTGCCCCACTATAGAAGGCCAGCGCAAACACATTCTGCTCGTTTCACAAGGAACGTTGGCGGCTCGGTATTGATATGTCTGTCCATATATCATCAAATCTACTTCAAAAGCGCAGCATCTGTACTTCATATAATCCCCATCACATATGACAATAGTGATATACTTCCAGCGAGGGGAAATGGAGCAGCATGTATTTATGCATTGGACCACACCTTTGGAGTTTGCTGACAATGTAGCCTGTCATGTTCACACAAAGAATTAACAAATCTAATATCATTTTAAACCACGTTTTGATCTTAATAAGATATAGGTAGGTGTGATTAATGCACAAGAATTTAAAGCCCCATCATTGTTTCAAACCACCATCATCGTTTCAAACCACATTCTGATCTTATAATGATAGATGTGATTAGAACACAAGTTATGCTGTATTGTTTGAAGTCTGTTCACATTCATGAATTGCAATGCTGAACATTATTTCGCTAGACATTCAGGTGCGAATAGGACTTGTTCACACTAAGAATTTGAAGCTCCAACATAGTTTTACATCATGTTCTGATCTTACAAGTTATGTTGTATTGTATGAGGTCTTTTCACATAAAGCACAATGCTATAAACACAACTTATTTTCCCATTTTGACTCTTGGTGGACGAAGTAGTTTTTTTGCCTTAAATTAAAAAAATATCAGGAGAAGAGACCTATCTGAACAATACTCAAATCTAAAACAATTTTGATTGGAAGACACATATATAATATGACCCATAGTTATTTTGACCGCAAATTCTACAAATTAATTCTAAAATGTATTGTTTGTCACAGTGATCCACACCTTTCATATATAATGCTTTTTGTTCCACTGAATATGTTACTCTTGTGACAAAAATATATTTCAGTTCCTAAGCCGAGCTGCACATTTTCAATATTGCATTCATGGGCTTCCACCTTGTATAACATAACTCAGAGAGCTAAAAACAGCCCCCTCTTTAGAATGACATCTTGTTATTGAATAACTCGGTCTTATTTCATACAAACTCTGGCTGTTGACATTTTGCACTTATGTCCTTTCCCATAAGATAGCTGTATATATAACTACATAG